AGCCTCATGAAGTTGAGTTAATAGGATCCGCCCTAGAGTCCTTGGAATGATTAGGCACCCATCTGGGTGTTGCCACCAACCATCGGGTGCCTTTCCCAACCTTTATGGGAGTATTTGGCTTCTTCCTCGGGGGAATAGGACAACTTATCTGGTAGTATAGGTTGAGGATGGAGGACTAGCTGTCCAATGTTCCCCACTGATTTTTGGGCAATTGCCTTTGCTTCTCTGTCTGCGGCTTGGTTTCCTATGACCTCGGGGGAATTACCTCTTTGATGCCCCTGCCTTTTGGGCAGAGGTCCCCTGGCGTAAGGGTTGGGCCCATATTACCTGCAACTGGTAATTTACCATGGCAGCTCCCACATATAGACATATCATCGCCCTTGAGGAATGAAACTGCTTCCGTTGGTGAAGAAAGTTTCAGTTGCATCCAGGAGTGCCTGATCAGTCCACTCAGGCCGTCCATTCTTATAAGTCTCTAGGATCTCAAGACAATCATGAATTGGTGGGCCCTCATTAGATTGTGGCAGAAGAGTAACAGGATTGAGTCCTGATGCCCGTTGGAACTTGAGCCTCGGTTGGTTCAACAATTGGCCCTGGTATTGAAGAAGTCTGGCATTCGAGAGCCATCTGTGGGGGGAGCTGTGGAGCAGGGGTTCTATTGCATGAGGCATGATAACCATTAAAGTTTGGCCATAGGTCAGTTTATCGGGCCTCTTTCACAAGGGTGGCCGTTGCAGCAGCAGTTCGCAGGCAGACGGGCCACCCTTGTGCCACAGGTCCAAGCGTTTGGATAAATAGGCAATGGATCTCTTCCATGGCCCAAGGATTTGGGTGATGACTCCCTTGGCCACCCCACCACATATAAGAAGAAGGGTTTTGAGATACCCAGCAAAGCCAGAGCTGGGGTCGAAATTAATGCTTGCTTTAGCTTATCGAATGTTCCCTGTTGGGCCTCAGTCCCAATCAAGGGGGTGGATCCCCCTGCAGTGGCCTCATGCAATGGTTTTGCCATTTCAGCAAGCCCGAGAATCTAGATATGACAATAACCCACAGTTCCAAGGAACTCTCTGACTTGCTTTTTAGTGGTGGGTGGAGGTATCTAGAGAATCGCTTGAACCCAGGAGGCAGAAAGAGGCCTCTTACCTTCTGGTAGAGTGTACCCCAGATAGGTGACACGATCCTGGCAAATTTGGGCCTTCTTCCATGAGACTCGGTAGCCCAAATCCTGTAACGTCTGTAGATCTCCCTCAGTTGCCTTCTGGCATGTAACCTGGTCTGGTCCGGCAATAAGTAAATCATCAACACACTGTAAAATAGTGGCCTTTGGAAAGTGGCCTCTTACTGGCAGCAGGTCCTTACTCAGGGCTTTCCCCAAACAGGGTAGGGGAATTTTAAATCCTTGAGGCAGCTGAGTCCACGTCAGCTGTCTGGTGGTCCCGGTATCTGGATCTGTCCATTCGAAAGCAAATATCGGCTGACTGGTAGGAGCCAGAGGAATACTGAAGAAGGCGTCCTTGAGGTCTAGCACAGAGCAGACAACATGATCTGGGGAAATGAGACTCAAGAGCGTGTAAGGGTTTTCATTTCTGTCATTGGTCCTAAGGGCCTTTTGAGGACTGAGTGTGCTGCTCCCTTGTCAACCAAGAAATTAACATCGGTTTCCCCCACTGTTAAAGTGACCATAGGCTCTTGGGGATTTAGCGGCTGTGAGTCCAGGCCCTGTCAGTCCTCTTCTCCTGCTAAGGGGAGAATTTGGGCCTCCTTTTTTCTTTGGAGCACAGGGCACTCCCGCTTGTAATGTCCCTTCTCTCTGCAGTAAGCACACTGATCTTTTCTGAGAGTGGGCCTTCTAAAAGGCCCTCTTCCTTTTCCCTGTGAGGATGTTATGATTCCTTGGTCCAATAGGGCTGCAATAGTCGCTTTCCCTACCCTTTTGGCTAATTTCTCCTCTGGGGGGGCGGTCTCCATTATGGAAGACTCTCATGGCTACACTCATAAGCTTGTCACTGTTCTCTCCATCAAATCCTTCTAACCTTTGTAACTTCTTACGAATATCTGGGGCCGACTGGGCAACAAAAGCTAAGTTAATTGCCTTTCGATTTTCAGGGGCATCCGGGTCCATGGGAGTATAGGTCCGGTATGCCTCTAAAAGTCACTCCAAAAACGTTGCAGGGGATCCCTCAGGTCCCTTTAGGACCTCGCTTACCTTCAACAGATTGGTAGGCTTACGAGTGGCTCCCCTGAGGCTGGCCAGGAGATACTGGTAGTAATTGGTGACTGATCTACCCGCTGATGAGTTGTAGTTCCAATTTGGGCGCACCGAGAGCACTTCCTCTTCTAGGCGGGCACATTGAGCATCTTGGCGGGCTGTCCCATCTGTGCCTAAGACAGCACGGGGGATATGGTTGAAGATGCCCTTGCGCTCTTCAGAAGTAAAAAGGACCCGTAAGAGTTGTTGACAATGGTCCCGGGTAGGTAAATGAGTGTGGAAAAACAGATTCTAGCAGATAAATGAGGGCTTGCAGTTTCTCAGAGAAGGGAGGGTTTTGATGCTTCCAGTTGCATCGAAGCTGGGCGGGGAGGTGGAGAAACCATGGGTGAAGGGGAAGATGAAGTCTTTTGGGGGAGACTAGGGAGCCGAGGAGGTGGGGGATAGAGGATAAGGAGGGGGCTGGTTGGAGAGATCAAGTAGATCTTCCGCAGGAGGAGGGAAAAGATAGGTTTTACCTCAGGTTTTTAGGAGCCGTGGGTTTCTTCACTGTTATTAAAACCCTGCAACCAGTTTTAAGATAACAATATCACAGCCAAGCGGGTGGCTGTTCACGTGCTTGTGCTCAGAGATCGATGTAGGGAAACTGGTCCGGATGTCCTGGGTTACCTGTAGCTACTCGCCAAATAAACAGCTCGACACAAGGAGGGATCAAGGGAACCCTCTGGAGGCCATCCAATTCCAAAAACCAGCCATTCCAGTTCACAGAGGGTTAGCAGTTTACCCTTTGAGAATTTAACACCATATTCGTCTGTCCTTTCAGGCGTATATATGGCTTTGAAGTTAACCAAGAAACATTCTAGTGGCGTGTTGATTTTACACTCTGAACCGCCCATTTTGATCGAAGGAACAAGGTCGAACACAGCACGAGAAAGCAGACGAAAACGAAACGTTGAGACAAAGCCGTGACGTGACTGACAGACACAAGTTACATCAACATAGACCAAACTCCCGGGCACAAGTTTCTCCAAGCTTTTACCAAGCTATACCAAAGTCCCGGGCACAAATTTAGACCAAAGTCCCGGACCAACGTCTTAGCCAGGACAGTTGGTGAGGTTCCAGGCTCCTCAGCCTTCTCTAATCCAACCCTTCCAAAATTGGTTGCGACCGGAAAAAACTTACCTCCTGAGGTGATGGGAAAAATAAACCTGGACCAATCTCCAGGGCCGCAGCCTGGCACCACGGCCCGACTGAAAGGCTTTCCTAACCTTGGGATCTCGCTGGGGCCTCCAAAATGTTAGACCACCTTTTCCGAAGGAGAATCACTGAGGACAAAGCCTGCAAACACAAAAGGAGTTGATTATTCAGGTTTATTTTAGTCCGGCCAGACGGCCCCTCCCGAGCACCCGAAAAGTCCTGGGAAGCGCGCCCCTCCGAGCCATAGCTCAGGGTTTATACGGGGAGAGGGGCGAAGCCAGTGTACAGAAGTGAGAATTCTGCGGTTAGAGGTGGGGGGTTGCTTAACAGTCGCTTGAAGAACATGTTTGGCCGTTCTAATCACAGTGTTCACTGAAGATTTACATCTCAGGGGCCTGCTGCAGCCAGGAGGAGCTGGGTTGCTCAACCCCTGACCTTTGACCTGAATAGAGTTTGAGATCAACAATGGTTGGTTATTTCCTCATTTGCGAGCCCCTCACCTTTTGGCCCAAGGGAGTTTTTACTGCAGGACGTGGGGAGGCTGGGGACGTGCACCTTCAGGTAGGTTGTACAGTGAAGGCATTGCCTAGAAGGCGGCGGAAATCCTGAAGGAAGCAGGGGGAGAGCCCTGTGGAGACCTGTGGATGAAAGCTGCAGCGCGGGGGAGTCTCCTGTACCTCTTACCCGTTAACCCGTTTAATCCCTTAGCCACAGACCCGTGGTCATTGCCCCCCACCCCCAGATTTGATACAGCAGGTGCTGTGTTGTTGGATTGTGGCGATTTGCAAGCGGTCAGGTTGAGGCCCAGAAGTACCCGGATGGTTTACGTGAGTAGGATGTGGTCTGAGGCCTTTTCCACTTTGAATAAACTGAGGCTCTAGCTACAGGTTGTAAGGCTCTTAGCTACTAAGCGTGAGTGTTTCCAGAACGTGGATCACGTCAGAATACGTGTATACATTGCGCCTTGCTTAGCATCTTCCGTGGCAATCCTTTGTCTTCAGTAAGCTCCAGGCCCGATGTGGGCCTTGGACACACGAGCCTCAGATCGAGTTGTAGGCTCTCGCGACAGCCAGCCCGGCGCCCCCTTGCTCAGCACGACACGAGGCTCGGTGCAGGTTTGTCAGGGGCTTACGGGTTTGGGAGTAAGGGAGCTGTACAAAAGCTGTCCCTTGCCATCCAGTGCCAGGACACTCGCCTCTTGTTAGAAGCAATAAGTTACAGGTGGAAAGATATTTCCATATCTACGGATGCAGGGCTGCCGGGTTATTTCAGTAATGGCGGGGACAGTAGCTTAAGTAAGCAAAAAGGCTGATCAGTATATTTGGCCACAGGCCTGAACCCCAGCAGGTGACATTATGCAGTCCCTAAATGGTCACAGTTGATGACATCACAATGGGTTCACCCCATATAAAGCCCAGACCATCTTTAGGTCTAGGCTTATTTCTCCTAAGGGCATGTGCGGGCCGGAAGGGTTTCTCTTAAAGAGGAAGCAAGAGACGGGTATATTTTTCACATTTTCACGTAGAATCTTTACTTAGAGGGATTGGTCTGTATCCGTGACAAGGGTAATCAAAAAGACCTTCCTTCTTTTCAGGTCCCAGTTTTATAAGGAATTTGGCGAGTGTGACCTTGAGTGCATGCTGCACGTGCAGTGGTGTGGCCCCAGAGTTCAGGCCTAGACGAAGAGCGGACACGGACTGCACACTCCCGATAGACGTGTGAGTGAGCTCTGAGGTGCCTGATTCCGCGCTCCCCCTTCTGTACACAGGCTCCCTTTTCAAAGTAAGCCTCTCACCAAACTTCCTCTGTTAACATCCAGGTAGCGCCGTGTCCACGCCTGCTCAGTTGCTCTAATGCTGATGTGATCATGCTGCAATCGTGATGATGATGATGAGGTGTCTGCCCAGGGGACTGGAACATAATTAACCTGTCTGGTAAGTTCCAAACTCAAAGCCCAGCAGAGGCCATTACTTGAGTAGCATTGATTTCATGCATCTGGTAGGTATGGAATACAAGTTGTACCTTGTGTTTTATCCCCTTGATGTTTACAAGCAGGACTTTCTGAAGTGTTGTAATCCAGCTTCTACCGGAGCCACAGAGGGTTTGTAGAAGTCATGTGTATGTTAGGTTTCAGTCAGTATTATAGCTATGTTCTTAGCGCCCGAGGTTGAGCAGACAGAGGCACAGTTATTTCAGTAACTGTCAGGGTAGCTTGATTTTTTTTATTTTTAATTTTTAATGTTTTGTTTACTTCTGAGAGAGAGCGAGCAGCATGAGTAGGGGAGGGTTGGAGAGAGAGGGAGGTACAGAATCCAAAGCAGGCTCCAGGCTCTGAGCTAGCTGTCAGCAGAGCCTGACGCAGGGCTCGAACCCACGAACCTTGAGATCATGACCTGAGCCGAAGTCGGACGCTCAACCGACTGAGCCACCCAGGCGCCCCACAGGTAGCCTGATATTTTTATCACCTCTAGACGCAGAAGAGATTTGAGGTGATCCCGTTTGTCTCCCTAGAGAGCGAAGGAAAGGGGCTTCTGTCTTCCGGTACTGGGTCTGAAGGATGACATTGAAACTTCCCCTGTGAGATGCAGTCCGCTATAGGGCCTTCTAGTCAGCAGTTTTATTTCTCCATCATCAGAATCTCTGTTGGGGAGGATCGACCATAAACTCACTTGTCATTTCTTTACAAGAAAACTCTGCTTGTCGAAGGCCAAGTCCATGTGTTCTTTTGGTCTGTAGCACAGGACAGGCTCAGAGTGAGGGTGAAAGACGAAGAGCGTATTATCGTGAGGCATTCGTTTGTGAGCTTAACAGTAATACACGTGTAGGTGGTTTAGAACGTTATGCACGTTTGATGATGGGGTCCTAGGAGACCATTTTCTGATGGTTGTACTGGCTTCGGACCTCTAATGGACCATATCCTTGGCGCTCTGTCTCCTGCTGACACGGGCGAGTGGGTCAGGGTCCAGCAGACATCGGCTTTGTATACTGCGTGTCAGCTCCGAAGTTCTGTGAGCCAGCAGCTGGGGCGGGGACAGAGGAGGGCGCATGGGGACAGAGGATAGGCAGTACCCAACAAGCCCCGTGATCCCATCAACCTGCCGTCTCTCATTTTGAACAAATCTCTTTACTTCTCCGGGTTCTGATCTTCAGCTAATATATGGTTCAAATAAATGAAAAAGTCTTAAAAATATATGCTCAAGGACCTTTCTGAAAAACTGAATAACAGTGAGGAAAATAATTTTTTTAAATTTTTTAATGTTTTATTTATTTTTGAGAGCGAGATAGAGACAGCATGAGCAGGGGAGGGTCAGAGAGAGAGGAAGATACAGAATCTGAAGACCGTCCCTGGAAAATAATTTTTAAAAACAGAAATGTGCACAAATTAGCAGATAGCAAGTGTAAGGAAAACTCTAGACCTCTCTTTTAAAAGCTTTTTATTGAAGTATAATTAAAATACAGTGTTATATTAACTTTAGGTACACAGTATGATTCCTATCAACAAATGTTGCTAGACTTTAAAAATTTTTTTAATGTTTTATTTATTTCTGACACAGAGAGAGAGTGTGTGGGCAGGGGAAGGTCAGAGAGAGAGGGAGACACAGAATGTGAAACAGGCTCCAGGCTCTGAGCCGGCAGTCAGCACAGAGCCCGACGCGGGGCTCGAACCCACGAACCGCGAGATCATGACCTAAGCGAAAGTCGGACGCTTAACCGACTGAGCCACCCAGGCGCCCCTACAAATGTTATTAGACTCTTAGTGACTACATTTCCAATGCTGTATTTTCATCTCTATGACTTATTTACTTTGTAACTAGAAGTTATCCCCCCCCCTTTTTTTTTTAAGTGTTTTTTGTTTTGTTTTGTTTTTGAGAGACAGCACAAGTAGGAGAAGGGCAGAAAGAGAGGGGACAGAGGATCTGAAGAGGGCTCGGCACTGAGAGCACAGAGCCTGATGCCAGGCTTGCACTTGCAAACCATGAGATCATGACATGAGCCAGTCGGACGCTTAATTGACTGAGCCACCCAGGCGCCCTTAGAAGTTTATCCTTCTTAATCCCCTTTATATGTTTCTCCCATCCCCCATCCAACTCTCTTCTCGCAACCACCAGTTTGTTCTTTTCATTGAAGAGTGGTTTTCTTTTTTTAATTTTTGTTGATTTATGTGTTTCTTAAATTCTGCATGTGACAAATTCCAGTATTTGTCTTTCTGTTTGACTTCTCCCACTTTGGCATGATTGCATTTCTAAATGGCTATTATCTCATTGTATAAGCCACATCTTTTTCCATTCATGGAAAAACATTCACATTGTGGCTTTTGTAAATAATGCTGCAATCAACATAAACAGTGTATATATCTTTTCAAATTAGTGTTTTCGTTTTCTCTGGGTAAATATGCAGTAATGGTATTATCGGATCATATGGTATTTGTTTTCTCGAGGCTACTTCGATACGGTTTTCCACAGTGGCTACGTCAATTTGCATTTCCACCAACAGGGCGATAGGGCTCCCTTTCTCCCACATCCTCACCAACACTTGTTACTTCATGTGCTTTTGACTGTAGGTATTCTGACAGGTGTAGGATGGTATCTCGTGGTTTTGATTTGCATTTCCCTGATGCTGAGTGATGTTGAGCATGCTTTCAGGGGGCTGTTGGTTATTTGTATGTTGTCTTTGAAAAAATGATCAGGGGTGCCTGGGTGGGTCAGTCACTTGGGCTTCTGACTTCGGCTTAGGTCATGATCTTACAGTTTGTGAGTCCCACATTGGGCTCTGTGCCTGCTTCAGATTCTGTGTCTCCCTCTCTCTCTGCTCCTCACCCCCTCACACTGTCTGTCTCTCAAAAATGAATAAACGTTAAATTTAAAAAAAAAAGAAAAAGGAAAGAATAAAATAGTGTTCAGATCCTCTGCCCATTTTTAAATTGGATTATTTGTTTCTTGGTGTTGAGGATATTAACCCCTATCAGATATGCCATTTGTAACTATCTTCTCCCATTTGGGAAGTTGCTTGTTTTCTTGATGGTTTACTTGGTCATGTGACAGTTGTTGGTGTTTTTCAGTGTAGTTCTAAGAGTTTATTTTTGCTTCTTTTCCTTGCCTGAGGAAACATACCTAGAAAAATGCTTCTACTTCTGATGTCAAACAAATTACTGCCTATGGTTTCTTTTAGGAGATTTATGGTTTCACATCTCACATTTAGGTCCTTAATCCATTTTGAGGTTAATTTTATGTTGTAAGAAAGTGGTCCAGTTTCATTCTTTTGCATGTAGCTGTCCAGTTTTCCCTATACCACTAGGGGAAGATAAGGTGTTTTCACCACTGTATATTTTTGCCTCCTTTGTCGTACATTATTTGACCATATAAGCATGGGTTTATTTCCGGGCTATCCATTCTGTTCCATTGGTCTGTGTCTGTTTTTGTGCCAGTACCATATTATACTTAATTAAACGTCGGACTTTGGCTCAGGTCATGATCTTGTAGTTTGTGGGTTTGAGTCCTGGATCAGGCTCTGCACTGGTGGCGTGGAGCCTGCTTGGGATTCTCTCTCTCTCTCTCTCTCTCTCTCTCTCTCTCTCTCTCTCTGTCTCTCTCTCTCAAAACAAATAAACTTAAAATAATTATTAAAAGAAAGATTACTTTGGCTATTCAGGGTCTTTTGTTGTTCCATACAAATTTTAGTATTATTTGTAATAGTTCTGTGAATAATGCTCTTGGTAATTTGATAGGGATTGCATTAAATCTGCAGGTTGCTTTGGGTAGGATGGACATTTTAATAATATTGGTTCACATCCAGAAGCATGGTATATCTTCACATTTGTTTCTGTTGTCTTCAGTTTTTTTCATCGATTTATCACAGTTTTCGGAGTACAGGTCTTTCACCTCTTTAGTTGAATTTGTTCCTTGGTGTTTCGTTCTTTTTAGTGCAATTGTAAGTGGGATTATTTTATCAATTTCTAAACTTTCTGCTCCTTCATTTTTAGCATATACAATGACTACTGATTTCTTGAGCATTAATTTTTTATCCAGCAACTTTAATAAATTCATTTATTACTTCTAGTATTTTTTTGTGTGTGGAGTCTTTAGGGTTTTCTACGTATATTATCATGCCGTTTGCAAATATGCACTTTACCTTCTTTACCAACATGGATGCCTGCTTCTTTTTCTTGTCTGATCGCTGCAGCCAGGCCTTCTGGTACTTTTATTCAACAAAGTGGCACGAGTGGACATCCTTGTCTTGTTCCTGTTATCAGTGGAAAAGCTCTCAGTTTTTCTCCATTGAATATGATGTTAGCTGTGGTTTTTCATATGTGGCCTTTCGCATGTTGATGTACGTTCCCTGTAATCCTCCTTTTAGAGAGTTTTTTTTTTTTTTTTATCATGAATGGAGGTTGAATTTTGTCAAATGTTTTTCCTGCTTCTACTGAGATATGATTTTTAGCCTTCCTTTTGTCCATGTTTTGTATCAGTTTGATTGACTTGTAAATATCGACCCATCTTTGCCTGCCTGAAATAAATCCCGCTTGTTAGTGATGAATCGTTCTTTTTTAAAAAACATTTTAAAAATTTATTTAAGAGAAATAGCACGTTTGGGGGATGGGCAGAGAAAGAGGGAGAGAGGGTGAGAGAGAGAGAGAAAAAATTCCAAGCAGACTCTGTGCTGTCAGCACAGATCCCAACATGGGGCTCGAACTCATGAAACTGTGAGGTCATGACTTGAGCTGAAGCCAAGAGCTGAGTGCTGAACCAACTGAGCTGCCGAGGTGCCCTGAATAATCCTTTTAATGTATTGTTGAATGAGGATCATTCCATCTGTGTTCAGAGATACTGGCCTGTACCTTTTTCTTTTTTTCAGTGTCTTTGTCTGCTTTTAGCGTCAGAGCGATGCTGGCCTTGTAGAATGAATTTGGAAGCTCTCCTTGCTGTTCTCATTTATA